AAAAAAAAAAAAAAACTGGGAGAAGAAGGGAGGGTAGTCTGGGCTACATAACAGAATCCTGCCTCAGAAAGCAAAACACAACAAAGATGGGGGAGGACACCTAGAAAAAATTAAGCTATCGTTAAGCTAGGTGCCAGTGCCTCACGCCTATAATCCTAGCTACTCAGGAGGCTGAGATCTGAGGATCATGGTTCAAAGCCAACCAGGGCAGGAAAAGTCTGTGAGACTCTTATCTCCAATAAACCACTAGAAAGCCAGAAGTGGCACTGTGACTCAAGTGGTAGAATGCTTGCCTTGAGCTGAAGAGTGCAGGGACAGCTCCCAAGTCCAGAGTTCAAGTCCCATGACCAACAAAAGAAAAAAGAGAAAATTAAGCTATCTTTAAATCTATGCCCTTTGACTTATTTAACCAGTGCTCTCCCAGCATGAGTTGGGGAGAGAGCTGTTGCTGGGAGAGGAGGGGCTTGGGGCCACCGCCCCAGGGAGGTCACGGGCACCACACAAGCCAAGTAGCCACCATGGTCACATGTTGACTGCCCTAAACTCTCTATTGAAAAGTAAAGTGGACAAAGAAAAGCCTCTGTCCTAGGGAGCAGGCCGGCCTGTGGGTTGGATAGTTGAGGCCCTCTCCGCACCCCACCCTCAGCTCATTTTAACTCCCTCCTGGCATCAGAAACTGAAAAAGGAGATGGGAGGACTTTGCTGCCCATTACCTCACAGGGTACCAGGCCTGTCAGTTCCCACTGTAGAAGAGCGCCTTCTATTGGCCCAACCTCAAGCTCTGTTTTGATTTGTGTCCTAGCTTCTTGCAAACAAAGCAGATTGTTCCTGCCTCATACATTCCCATGTGATATGGAGTGGGGGCAGAGAAAGCAATAATAAATAATAAAAACTTCCTTCTTTTTGGTAGTAAAGGGGCTTGAATTCAGGGTCTTATACTTGTTAGGCAGGTATTTCACCACTGAATCATGCCTCTAAGCATTTGTTCCACTGGTTATTTTTGAGATAAGGTCTGGTCTTCATCTCTGGACACATGCCTGGGCTGCATTGTAGCTAGGATAACAAGTATATGCCATCATACCCAGCTCTTAGTTGAGAACTTTTTCCAGTCTGGTTGGCCTGGAACCATGATTCTCTTAATCCTAGCTTCCTAAGTAGCTAGAATTACAGATGTGAACCATCAACAGTTGGGGGGAAAAAATAAAAAAGTTCTTTGTTTTAAAAATAACAGAGTAGAAGTGTAGAGAAAAAAAAAAACCCATTGCCGGGCGCTGGTGGCTCACGCCTGTTAATTCTAGCTATTCAGGAGGCTGAGATCTGAGGATCACGGTTCAAAGCCAGCCCGGGCAGGAGAGACCGTGAGACTCCTATCTCCAATAAACCACCAGAAAACCTGAAATGGCGCTGTAGCTCAAGTAGTAGAGCGCTCACCTTGAGCTGAAAAGCTGAGGGACAGCGCCCAGGCCCAGAGTTCAAGCCCCATGACCGACCAAAAAAAGAAAAAAAGAAAAAAAATCCATTGATATTGGAGCAAACACTCAAGCTCAGACCATACCAGTGCAGAGAAAAGAGGGGAGAGGAAGGAAAGGGAGGGGAGGAGAGAAGAGGGAAGAGGAAGGGAGAGGAAGAGAAAGAAATATGCCTTTCAAATCTGCATTTTTCCACTGATAATTAAGGCCCAGGTAAAGGAAACATGGCAGGCTATTCTGGGCCTGTGTCTGGCCCTTGACCCCAAATCCTTACAGTATGTTGGCTATGCCGCTGAGAACAATTTAGAAATTCAATATGGGTTCTAAACATATAGAACAGAACACTCCTGTGTTCTGTCCCTTTAAAAAAAAATCCTCAGGGCTCAAGTTGTAATTACTGCATGGCCCTAAAAAGATCCTTTACTAAAGCTTGCTGCCTAAGTCTGTTACACACAGATCCAGAGACCCCTGCTGCCGGGGAGGATGGGAAGGCCAGGATAACAACTGGAAGCTCTGAGTCCTGGCTGTTTCCTGATCTCCCTGAAGGAAGGACAGGATACCTTCAAACCCTCTACTGTTCTCTGCAGGTAAAGCCTTGGAGAAGGCCGGGGGCAAAGAGTTTTTGGAAACAGTAAAGGAGCTTCGCAAATCTCAAGGCCCTTTGGAAGTTGCTGAAGGTAAGGGTGAGCCTGGGCCTGGTTCCCAGTGGGGCCCCACTCCACACATCACACACATATTCCACATGTGCAGCACAACACACTAGAGCTAATCAGACTCCTCTCTGACCATTTGAGTGGCCCAGGCAGACCTTGTCATATGCTCTAGGGACTAGAAAGTATCCAATGTCCACATGCAACCTCTTCCCCAAAAGGTACAATGGGTTGATGTGTGTGTGTGTGTGTCTGTGTGTGTGTGTGTGTGTGTGCATGTGCATGTGCACGTGCATAGAGATTAATGGAGTGTGGGCTTGGTTTGGTAGTGTCCCCAGGAGACATAGAAGAAAATGTAATTTATTTCTAGGACTCAGTTTTAAGCAGGCTGATAACAATTATTTTATTTTTATTAAAAGATGTGAAAGGGGCTGGGAAGGTGGCTCAGTGGTAGAGTGCTTGCCTTGCATGCCTGAGGCCCTGGGTTCGATTCCTCAGCACCACATAAGCAAAAAGAAAAAATGCCGGAAGTGGCGCTGTGGCTCAAGTGGTAGAGCGCTAGCCTTGAGCTGAAGAGCTGAGGGACAGCGCCCAGGCCCAGAGTTCAGGCCCCACGACCTGACCCAAAAAAAAAAAAAAAAGATGTGAAAGCTGGTAGCCAGTGGCTCATGCTTGTAATCCTAGCTACTCAGCAGGCTGAGATCTGAGGATCATGGTTCAAAGCTAGCCTGGGCAGGAAAGACTAAATAACCACCAAAAAGCTGGAAGTGGAGCTGTGGCTCAAGTGTTAGAATGCTAGCCTTGAAAATCAAAAGCTCAGGAACTGCACCCAGGCTATGAGTTCAAGCACCAGGGCCAGCACAAAAGATAGAATGCAGGAAGGCAGAAAGAAAGAAGGAAGGAAAGAAAGAAAGAGAGAGAAAGAAAAAGGAAGGAAGGAAGGAAGGGAGGGAGGGAGGAGGGAGGGAGGGAGGGAAGAAGGGAGAGAGGGAGGGAGGGAAGCAGGGAAAAAGAAAAAGCTAGCTTGGCAAAAGGAGGCTAACCACAGCCAAGCAGGCATAGGGTCATCGGCTCCACAGAAGGGCCTCCAGGCCTCCATGTCCCCCTCTCCCCCACCCCGACATCACTATTCATTCTGAACGAGAACATGGTGCTGCTAGCGAACAAATCTCCACAGTTACTGAGTCAAGCCTCCCAGGCACAACATGCCAACTGCTTCGTTGGTATTTGGTGGACAGGCTCATCCTGTATGGTTGCACACAGTACCCACTGGGCACAGGCAAAGCCAGGAGCTATAGACTTACCTGCCTGATTCCAGCCCCCAGACTTGCTCTCCACCCATGCCAGCAACTATGTGGACATTGTATCTTTCAAATTAATCTTTCTGGTTTTGTTGTTTGGTTTTGTTTTCTTTTTTTGTTGTTTGTGGTGGTGGTCATGGGGCTTGAACTCTGGGCCTGAATGCTGTCTCTCAGCTCTTCAGCTCAAGGCTAACGCCCTTCCGCTTGAGCCACAGCGCCACTTCCAGTTTTCTGAGTGGTTTATTGGCGATAAGAACCTCATGGACTTACCTGTCCAGGCTGGCTTTGAACCCTGATCCTCAGATCTCAGCCTCCTGGGTAGCTAGGATTATGGGTGTGCACCACTGGCGCCCAGCTCATTTTTTGTTTGTTTAATTGGTTGACTGGTGGTGGTAGTTGGCTATACTTAAGACATACCTTCATCCCTGTTTTCTTTCTCTTTTTTTTTTCTTTTCTTTTTTTCTGGTGCCAGTTCTAGGGCTTGAACATGATTGTTTGGGGGAGGTCACTAAACAACCTACCACAACATGACTTACATGTGTTCCCACAACGAGATGTGGGAATAAGTTGTACCCAGAGCCCATTGGCGGCCACATAAGCATGAGACACTGTCACAGACTCAGCTCCCTGCACTTTGTCCCCCCATGAATCTATCAGGTGCCCCTGTGAGGCTCTGCTTGACTTGCTGACTTAAGTACACTTAGGGAATCACCTGCTGGTTATTTTCTTGCCCATGTCCCAGCCGCCATCAGCCAATCCAGTGGACTTGCGGCCAAGTTTGTCATCCACTGCCACATCCCCCAGTGGGGCTCCGACAAATGTGAAGAGCAGCTGGAGGAGACCATCAAAAACTGCCTGTCAGCAGCCGAGGACAAAAAACTAAAGTCCGTTGCCTTCCCGCCCTTCCCCAGCGGCAGGTAGGATGTGGTTCCCGAGCTGATGGCTTCAGCATTTTTGCTGGGCACCAACTACTCCTCAACACATTTATCCTTGCTCTGCCCATTCCAGAGCCCACAGCCAAGGCCAAGCAGTACAGCCAAGCACAATAGCCTGGCAAGAGGGTGAGAAACCTAGTTTCCACCTTTCACACATCCAGAGGCCTTCTCTCCAGCTGCAGAGAGATACCATGATCAGAGATGAGGTGGCATGTATGTTGTTTTTCTGTGCCAGTTCTGGGGCTGGAACTCAGGGCCTAGCCACTGTCTTTGAGCTTTTGTGCTTGAGGCTAGAGGGATATCACTTGAGCTACAGCTCCACTTTTGGCTTTTTGGTAGTTAACTACCAAAGAGTCTCATAGATTTTCCTGCCTGAGTTGGCTTCGAATTGTGGTCCTCAGGTCTCATCCTCCTGAGTAGCACACAGCTATAAAATGCTGAACTGCTAGAGGTTTTTAGGCCAGCATCTACTTGGGTCAGGAGACCTGCCAGCCTGGTAACCTTGGCTAGTGGCATAGTATCTGTTAATGTGGCATCTCTGAAGAGAGCATCACTCCTGCTCCAAGTGAGGCCCCTCACACCATTAGGACCTGGTAGCACTGCCCCTGGGCTAAGGACAGTTACAGCAGTGGGACTTGGGACAAA